AGAGCGCCCGGTGCTCTGGGCTGGGATGGCGGGTGCCGTCCGGAGCCGGGCCCAGCCGCCGGTTCCCTCCTCTCCCCTCCCTTCTCACCTCCTGCCCGGTCGCACCGGGCGCTGCGGAGGTACCGGCGCTGCTGAGGTGGAGCGACCGGCCCGGCTGCGGCCCTGCCCTGAGGGCTGTCAGGCCCGCATTGAAGGCGCCTGATGGCAAATGGAACCAGGCGCTGGCTTTTCTCCCCGCTTCGGTGTCCCTTCTTGCGCTGCCGTCAAGCTCAGCAAGGGACAGCCCAGGCCCGTTTAGCCCAGATAGGTCTTGGAGCTTCCAGGGAGTCTTCACAGAGCTCTCTGTGAGGCTGAGCTGCTCCACCGATGGCCTTTTGCAAGGTTTAAATTTAAACGTGAGATTTTTCCCACTGTGGCGAGCAGGTGAACGGGTGTGTGAACTGAATGCAAAGGTTCTGGCTTTAAAAGCCACTTGGTAGCATGATGTGCTTTGAAGGTGGTTGATCTTCTTTTGTGCCCAACGTTAAACATGGAATTAAGCATTTCTGCTCAGTCGCATGGAAGAACGTCTCCTTCGGTCAAAAACTGCAATCAGTTAAATCCAGCAGGCAGTCTGCCCTGGGTTTTAATGCTGTTCTTACAGTTAATAGAGATTTTTAAGGTGTGCCTATAATACCTATCTTATTCTTGCTTGCAACAAAGCCTGGCCTCAGCGATGACTTGGGCAGCAAGGTTTAAAGGTAGGCTGTGGGGGTTATTTCCTTCCTTGATATAGACTTTAAAGTGCCAAGTTCAGCAATCCAACTTAGGTATAACTACAGAGGCAATAAATAAGAGGCAGCTGAATTTAAAAGATGTCATTTAACAGAAGCGCAGAAAACAGTGAGTTAATGTAGCGCATGTCTTTGGGCCAGCAGGATACGTGGGGCAATTATGCCATTACTTCTCAGAGGTAAAGTCTGGATTTAGCTTGTGGTGTTTGGCAGTGCCATCACTGAAGCCACAGGACCGGACGGTGTGGCTCTTTACAAAATCTTTTCAACATCTAGGAGCCTGATAAAGAGAGGGACATGATATTGTTAGCTTGGACACAGAATTAAATATTCTCTGCTTACAAATTGCTTTCCAAAGTCTTTTATTGGCAAAGCCCATTTGATTTGGTTTTTTTTTGCAGGTTTTGTATTTTTTAGGATGAGTAGTTTGAGAGATGGTCTGGTAGAGAAAGAGCTTGGGTTGCATGATTTGGTAATCAAGATCAGGAGGTTACTTTGAGGTAAAAGGTTCAGCTTTTGCCTGACTAGAGGCCAGGGATAGGCCGAATAGGGAGTAAAAACAAGAATCTACAAGCTCTGCATAGTCTGCTTTCAGTATAGGATAATGGACTGAAGGATTTGCCACATGATGCAAGAATTTGCAGCTTGTGATCTCAGCAATGTGCAGCAGAATTTCTCAGTGATCATTCTGTGATCTAGTGTATCTTTTCTGTTCTGTGACTCGAGGCAAAAGGTGTTTGTCTCTGACTCCCAGCAGCACACATATATATGGAGGGGTCCTGGGTTTCCTCCACAGTCAGGAGAAAGTTATGTTTGCAGCCAGTTTTCCTAGAAAAAACGGTATGCTTCTCATCGCTAACAAATATTTCACCTCAAGGGTACATTTACTTGTGATCACCGTTTTCATAAAATCAGGGTTCTGTGAAGCACGTATGTTTTCTCAAGTGATTATGAAAAGTGTATTGCCCCGTTTTGGACCGCAACTTTGGTTTTATTGAAATGAACTTGTAAGTGGATATAGTGCTGCTCAAACACATAGCAGAGTTTTCATGGATGACTCTTACCAAACCAGCGTCCAATGTTTCTTGGAGCACTTAGGATGTGTTCCCAGAAGACCAGTGAATATTGTCTATTTGCAGTGTTCTTTCCTTTCTCCCCTGGCTCTTTTTAAGACTCCTGTCACCTTGTTTTGTGCACTAACCTGATCTTATGTTTTCATTGCAGAAATGTCTCATCAGTGGCATATGGCTTATATCCAGAAGATACCCAGTTCCTGCAGTCCACAGGGGTACAGTGTATAGAATGAGCAGGCCTGCTTTGGAGATTCATCAGGTTGGTTAACAGCTGATTTTTTTTTTTTTGTATCAGGCCAAAAGTGGTTTCCCATTAGAGTACTGATCTACTAGATGTGGATATGTTTCTGAGAAGCACCAGTTCTAAGTTGAAAGCTTCCACTTTTTAAGATACATCTGATGAACTCAAGGAATTTTGTAGTAGCTGAGTCCAAGAGACAGAGTTCAGGAGTGGTGCTCTGGTAACTTCATCTAACAAGTTGTTTCAGCCTGAACTAACCTCTGGAGTTAAACCTCCTCTGGAGAAGCATCTTTTTTAATGGCTATATAGAGGTACTTCACAGGGTATTAGAAATGTGTTGGGCATCTGGCTGTTTTGAGGGTAAGCTGCTGCTTTTTCAAGGTTTTCCACAACATTTAATATGTTAGAAGTGACCCAGTGCTTGGCTTAAGTAAATCTACCTGCTGGCTTTGATACTTGTTTAATTTAATGTCTCTTTGGATTCTACAACATGTAATGATTTCCTTTAGTCTAGATGCTACTCTTCTGGAGGAAGAAAGGGTTTTATATCAGGTTTTGTGGAGAACATCAAACAGGAATTAGCAAAAAACAAGGAGATGAAAGAAAGTATTAAAAAATTCCGAGATGAAGCTAAAAAGCTAGAAGAATCTGATGCACTTCGAGAAGCAAGGAGGAAATATGTAAGTCTTCCTCATGAATTCCTTTAATATTTTCATTGCCCAGTCACTGAGCTATCACTGTTCTGAGTCTTTCTGCAAACAAACTGTTTAGTTCAGCATGTCTATTTTTATGAGAAGTTCTGCTTGGCTGGAATTACTGACTGGTAAATGGATGTCTTAGAGTGTTTTGGATTTTGTGGTGTTTTGGTTTGAAAATCTTTCCAGTAGACCCTTCACTGGATTTGCCAAATAATGAGCAGATAAAATAATGATACATTAAATTTAATGTTGGCAGTATTTAAATACTACTTTTGCATTCTTTGAAGAACTATAAACAGCATTACTTGCAAAAATGAAATGCTGACTCTGGTTATTCAAGTAGTGTGCTCCCTAAGATGTAGCCCTTTTTGCCCTCAATTACAGTATTAATGGTGTATGCTATGTGCTAAACTGTTTTTGTGTATTTTCTGTCCTTGTAGTTACATGCAGCATGTTTTTTTCCACAGAAA